CTGAGTTGTTTGGTTGCGGAAGAACGCCGTATATCTCATTTTTTTAGTCTTCTTCCTGTTCCAGGTTGGCCGCTTTGGCAGACTCGACTTTGTCCTGGAAATTTTTGAGTGCCTCAAAGTGCGCAGTGGCGTGCCAGCGTGGTTGAGGGCGCAGCACGCAAACAATCGTCTTGTTGTTTAAGAACTCATTTTTTTGAGTAATGTTCCTGTCTCTGACAGCAAAGTACACACTGAAAGAAACAATATGTTTTTTGGTGATTTAAATTTATATTGTTTATTGAGTTTGCATTTATTGATAACGCAATACCAAGAAGATAATTTAAAACAAACCCTTCGTCATCTACAAAAAAAAACACCGGCCACCAGAGGGTGCCGGCCACACCACGGACCCACTCGCCTTATGCCTGATTGACCAACACACAACACAGACACACATAGATCGTCAGCATATCCACACACCACGACAACGTAACACAACAACAATAAAAAGTTAAGCCCCACGCAGTATTTAAGTTTTGAGACGTTTGGATTCTGCAGGGATTTTCTCTTGCCATCGCGGCCGCGGCAGCTCCGTGACTGAGCCAGTTTTGAAGTCGGCGGGTTGTTTTTGACTCGTCGTTCCAGGAGCTGTGCCGGCTGCCGCAGAGGTTTTGTTTGTCCAACTTTTGTTTCCGATTCTCATGTATGTCACGTTTATAGTTTTGTGGTAGGTTTGGGTTGTTTGCTGTTTCCATGTCATGTTTTTTCCTTTGGGTTTATGTCTGGTCCTTTTTTCCTTTGTTCCTCTTTGGTTCAATTATTTTCTTTTCCTGGTGTGTCTAAATTGTCTGAATTAGTTTCACCTGGGCCCCGCTGTTGGTTTTTTCCTCCTCCCTCCTCACCTGTTTTGTCTTTGTTTGTGTGATTGAAGTCCTGTTGTATTTTTAAGTCTGGGTTTTTGTCGTCTTGTTCCGGTTTCGTCTTTTGTTTCGCCTGACTAAGTTTCTGGCGGTGAGTGTTTCTGTTTTCTCATTGTACATATATAGCTCATAGCCTTGAATAAAAGGAAGTTTTCAGTTTAATCTTGCATTTTGGTCCTGCTTTTGTTTCAGCAACCGTGACAGGTACGAACCAACCTGAAAATATGGCCCAGACAGATCCGTTTTCGATCGAATTCAATTAAAAAGTTTTTGTCCTTTTTTTTTTTGCTAACTGCCCCCGGATAAGAAATGTTTGGAAGAGAGCAACCGGAGTTTCAGCAGCGGGAGGCTGTGTTTTTTTTGTCGGACGGCCGCGCCCAGAAATGGCTTTAGAAGAACAAACCAGGTTATGGTTTGAAAGTTCTTACCTGGCCTGATTTCCAAAGATCTCCCCTGGTGTGTGATTCCCGGGCCTTGCCTTTTAGCCCAAGGCTTGCTGACTCCCGGCTCCAATTTCCCACCTGGCACCATCGCCTTGGGTGGTTCCGTCCTGAACGTTCATCGACGTTGGCTTCGCCCCAGTTTCCTGCTCCTGTCCATGGAGTCCCCATATTCTGGAACTCGTCTTGGCTTATTGGAAGGTCCACGGAGTATTTCAGGCGGCTGCTAAAGAGGAGGAAGTCGCAGCCAAGCTGCCTCAAGCCCCCAAGAGCCATGTTTCCGCTGTTTCCAGAGACGAAGATAAACAGCCAGTTCCCGGCTCCAGAACCGGAACCTTACAAGCCATGGGCCCCGGCTTTCAGTGGCGGCTTTCCAAGGAACCATGGTTCCCGACTCCGCTCCTCGTCCTGCTGACTCATCGGCCGACGCCGAGCTCACTTCGAGTCCCTGTCGTCGTTACGGCCAATCGCAGCAAAACCTTCGCTCCTGGTTGGCTGTCCGTCCGACCGCCAGCTCCCCATGTCCTCGTCAGCATACCGGCCCGACCCAAGCACCCATCGTTCTCCGTTTGGCTTTGTTCCGTCCGAACCGCCAGCCTCCCCGTTCCCTGAATGGCTTTCCTTCGACGCCAGCTCCCGTGTCTGTCCGCAATACGTCCGACTTCAGCAACCGTCGTCCTGTTGGTTTTTGTCCGTCCGCGACCGCCAGCTTCACCCGTGTTCCTGATGCTTGTCCCGTCCGACGCAGCCCTCGTGTTCCCTTGTCGGCATACCGCCCGACCTCCGCCACCTCGTCTCCTGGTTGGCTTGTCG